GCTAGGGCTGCATTAACAGGAATAAAAGTGATTTAAATCCTAAATGGCAGATAAGTAAGCAGTGAAATTTCATTGATTCATGATTGGCGTGATCTATACACAAATTGCTTCATTAAGCAAAAGTTGTCTGGGTGACTGAAGTGTCCCTTTAAATAAATATGAAAAACATTTTACTCACAATTTTTACAGCACTGAGACTCCCTTGGCACTGTTGCCCTATCTGCCTCCTGTGACAAAGTTGGCTTGTTGTCCAATCTAATTCTCATCTTAAAGGAGCATTGAGGATTTGCTGTGCATGCGCAATGAGCACCCAACACATCCAATTAAATGCTTCTCATAGGAAAGAACTGTGAAATTCAGTGTTTTCCTGGGAGCAGTATTTCATGGTGTTCAACATCTCCTCAGCTCCTATGATTCATAAAGTGATGTTACTGAAACAGCACTTCCAAGGTTTGTGTCAGGATCTTACCTGAGGTGGGAGTCCGGTAGGCAGAGATGTATGTTCACACTTGCAGATAAACACAGTCCAAGGTGATCAGGTAAGAAACCACCAGGACTGTGAATCTGTGCACAGGGGCTGTGCAGGAAAGATGCTCCAATTCGTGGTACAGACAAGGACACAAGCAGGAGGATAGTCGAGGATAAGCCAAAGGCAGAGGATGCCAGAGGTCAGGATAAACGAGGATAGAAGCCAAGGTCAGGAGCCGGGGTCGATTTGGAGAACTAGTTCAGGAGTCAAAACAGGAACAACACACAATCACCAGAATCAAAGAACTGACAAAGTTCCAAGGGCAAGGCAGTGTTTAAATACCCGGTTGATTAGCAATCTGCCTCAGGTGAAGCACAGGTATCAGCCACAGATGAAGTCCAATCCCCCAGTGCTACAGACAATGCCAGGAATAACAAGGATATAACTTATTCAAAAGAACCAAATCTGCTGCTGCCTGGCCATCTAGATGGCACGATGAGAACTGTGACAGTTTGTGTTTAAGCAAAGAAGGTTAAAATCTTGAAGTTAAAATTAGTATGAACTTTGTAAAATGTTATGTTCTTGGGTACAGAGCTACAATCATGACATGAAAAATGACATTACTAAAAATCAGTTCATTGAAGGAAGCAAAAGTGTCAAAACAAACAAACCAGCATAAATATATAAAATGGTCAGGCATCTTTGCAAACGCATACTGTTTTTTTTATTCCTGGTGTCTAGTTGATGATCAGTTTTGACTGGATCACTGCAAGCCTTTGCCAGACCGTATTAGGGTTTACAAGTATAGACCTACCTTGCTACAACAGTGAGCGATTTTATTTTAAATAATTAAATGGCACCTAGTTAGTGACCCCTGGTTGGTGGGAAATTACCAAGGGTCTCTAATAGCAGAGAGCGTAGTGTCTGTCTCTTTCTGCAGCGACCTGCATATTACTCAATGCATTTGCAGGGTGACAAAATTGCATCAATCCTAAAAGACACTAAGAATAGTGTCTCTTACCGTATTAAGAAACTTGTATATTTTCCAAGCGCAATGAACAGACATTATTCAGTCAGTTTTGATTAGGAATGTTTATTATTGAACTCAATGACTAAAGAATAATTTATTTTTATTTTCATCTTTCTCAATCTGTGTATTTTATTGTAATCCCTAAATTGTTTTCCAATGTGGAATCCCTACGTTGACTAAGTTTTAGAAATGCAATCACCAATGTAGCGTATTCCTGTAGCTCCGTTTTCCTGGCACTGCAGGTTCTCTCTCCCTCCCACCCCCCCAATACTCGGTTGCCTTCAGTAACTTACCTGAGGCAGCGACGATGTCCCACGTTGCTGCTTCTCCCTCCGTGCCGCTCCTCCATCTGACTGCGTCGGTCGGTGGGCGAGACTGATCTCGCCCACCGCTTTCCTATGGGGAAATGAGCGATGCTGGAGGTCCTCACTCAGCGTGAGGACGTCCAGCAATGCTCTAGCACAGGTTTCCTGTGCTAGGAACCAGGAAGTGCACTTTAGTGGCTGTCTAGTAGACAGCCATTAGAGGTGGAGTTAACCCTGCAAGGTAATTATTGCAGTTTATATATAAAAAAAAAACTGCAATAATTACACTTGCAGGGTTAAGAGTAGTGGGAGTTGGCACCCAGACCACTCTAATGGGCAGAAGTGGTCTGGGTGCTTGGAGTGTCCCTTTAAGCACGAATATGCAGCGTATATATGTTGTATGTGATGCTTCCCGTAACTATTTTCTTAATGGTGGTATATAAACAGAAAGCAGGTAGAAACATCTGACATTGTTATTTTAGAACTGATTTGTACCCTCGGTGCAGAAATGTCCTCTTTTTATGTTGCCTTATAGAACATAACATATCATCTGAACGTTGTACTCTTCAATAAGCAAGCATGCGTACAGAGCAGATTCTTTTCTCTTTTTAAGAGGTAAAACATTGTCATGGTGTTGCTCCCATATTGCAAGCTAAGGATTGTGGGGTAAAATGAAACACTAGTATCTTCTGCGGTGGTTATCTTGGACTAAATATAGATTTATTGCTGGTATTTTATCTAATTCAATGTTATATTAAAACGTCATTGAAGTGGACAATTGTGTGGATAACAGCTTTAACTGTGAATGGAATTCAAAGGGATGGATTTAATGCAATATGTTTGTGATCCCATGTACATGCGCAGTAGTTCCATCTTTGTCCTCTCTTTATAAAAACTCTAATCGTATAGATCAATAACTTTTTCTAATTTACTGTTGATTTTGGAAATAAAAATGTAGATGATTTACTCATCCCCCCCCCTTCCCCCAAGGAAAGCAAATACTTTTCATCTCACGTGATCATTTTTAATTTTTTTTAATAAATGTGGTTGATCTCACATTACTGGTATTATGTTAAGAGAGTGTGTAACATTTACAGTAATTTTTACTGTGATGATAAGAAATGATTGCATTTATCATCTACTTCACATATTCAGTTCATTTTATCTTCTTACCAGTACTTGTTGATATCTGCTCTTTTCCCCCAAGTTGTTCAGACCCACCTTTCACATGTCAATCAGTGTTTTGGTTGTTAGCCTCGATTTGAGATACCAGAAGGCATAATTTCAAACTGTGATCCACCTTTGCATGTGGAGTTGGTAAGTTGCATTGTGGGATATGTGTGCGATATGTGTGTGCTTATACCTATATCTCAAGGCTGTAATTGTTGTTGTTGTTATAATCATCATCATTATTTATAGCACTAACATAATTCCACAAGTAAATGGTAGATACAAGAGGTTTATTTGCCTCTGTTCAAATGTCCTGGCTATCTAGGATTGTAATCCTGTTATCTGAGAATTTATAACATTCACACATTGTCTCTGAGCTGCAAATGAAGTTGTTTGATTGCACTTTGCATTCCTGGGGGCTTCCTAGCGCTGCATTCTAAATAAAGTTATTGTTTTTTTGTTTTTAATTTTTATTTCAAGCACCACTTAATTTAACTTTGTACAAGACTATAATTGCATTCTTCCAAGTTTTAAAGTAAATGATCTATTAGTATGTATGAGCTCACATATTTGATTTCCACATTTGTCAAATATGCTTAATTTGTGCCCTCATACTCTGATTTAATTCTTTTTAACAAAAACACATGTTTTTTTGTAATTTGATCTGTTTGTGGAGCGCAAACTGTTTCTAATGGCAAGCCTAATGTTTCCCATCTGTACGGCTATGAGGGTAAACTCAGAGGTATCATACATTTTAGACCAAGTATGTCAACCAAATTGTTTCCTGACAAGAACGCTCTACCATTGTCATATGGAAGGATATATATGTTGATTTAAGACAGCCGTTTTTGACTGTATCTCTCTAACGTTTGCTTGACAACTTATAAAAGAACACTGACACTACATAAATTAAACCTTTTTTTTTTTTTTGACAATCTTTTTATTATACATTTTTTTTTCGTCAATGTTTTATGTAGAATACAATTACAAGAGTGAAACACATATATTGGATGGTGCATAACAAGACAAGATCTGTGACAATCGCATAAGCATGTTGTTAAGCAAACATTAACTATTTTATGTATGAAGGTTTTACTGCTTGTAGGGAGTAGCCTGTAGAGTGGGTAGGACGGACAGGATAAACCCGGCATGTCGGGCAGTATACACGATTATGAATATCACTAGGTATGTTATCAGGCTATCAGCTCGTGTAGGGGGGGTTGACCATAAGGATGGAACTATACGCCCAGGGGACAGGGCTAAACCCATCTCAAGAAGCGCTCCAGGGCGTGGGAGCCACGCACAGTGTAACCTTCAAGGAGGAGGTGCAGAATTTTCTGCTCAATACTTTGGCAACTCGGTAAAAGAAATTGTAAAAGTAGTTACAACAACGTAAAGCAAGATGAAAACGTCAAACCGCACTGGGGTATTACAGTCCCTGATTAACTCCAGTCCTTGGTGCTGGGGTCTGATTAGGAGCAAGGAGAAGAGGGACGGTGGCAGCTAGATCCTGTGGGAGGTTGCCTGGTAGTCCGTCTGGGTCTGTTGTAGGCACCAGTAAGTCCCAGGCCTGTAGAAAACCTGATTACTCGGCCCTGAGAGGAGATTTTGTGTGTTGTCCCTTTATGAGTTACCACTAAGAGTATTGGTGACATCCACCTGTAGGCCATGTCTGCAGCTCTCAGTTGGCTATTGACTGGTTGTAATGATCTTTGCTACTGCAGGGTGGCCCGGGTTAAATCCTGGTAAAATGTGAGGTGAGAGCCTTCAAATAAGAGTCTTGCTTCTTAAGGCCATAAGCAGACGTCTTTTAGACCATGAGCAGTGGACAATTACATCTTGAGTCATGGGTTTAATGGCCCCTCCTGGACCTGGTAGGCAATATGTCCCATCCTGGACAATCTTCTTTTCCTGGTTAGGTGGCAATACTGAAGCCACAAGGCCGCGTACATAATGCGGGAGCTCATCAGGTGTGACCGCATCGGGTATGCCCCTGATCTTAAGATGGTTACGGCGCGACCTATCGTCAAGTGCTGCATAGTGGATTGATAAGGCCAGTTGAGAGGCCTGCAGCTGTTGCACAGAGTCCTGTATTACATTCCTCAGAGGTCTTTATCCTGTCGGCAATGGCTTTCATGTCTGCTTTAATAATTGCCACGTCTGCGGCCAATAGATACTTGATTTCTGCCACAAGATTATCAAAGTCCTGCTTGGTGACAGGTTCAGATCTTCTGTGGGTGTCTGGAGTCATAGGCTCCTCTCTTGGGATCTGCTGCGGAGGGCCGGTTGACGAGCGATCCAGCCGGGCCTTTGATGTCACATGGTCCTCAGGCGTTGCCAGTTTGGGCTGTGTCTGTCGCTGGAGCATGTCTCCGATATTCCTTGATCCTGATGGCATTTCAGGCTGGAGACGCTGATTCTTCTGTCCCATGTCGGATTGGATTGTCAGCTGTGGTGTGCTGTGTGCGGCTCCGGAACTCCAGCAAGAATCAGTCAGAGTACGGTCGCCAAAATCGAGGACCCGGGGCAGGTAGTCATTTTTTGCCGCTTTGACTTCGTCGTGTGTAAAAATGTCATGTTGTTGCGGCAGTCATGAGTGAAAAGGCAGGTAGTCTGCTCTCAGATGGTCGATGAGGCACCCCAAAAAAGGAGCTTAAGTGGGAGAATAGTACGGAGCGAGATGAAATGTCAAGGTCAGGCCCCGCCCCTCCAAAAAATTAAACTTAAGTTACAGAATCTTTGTTGGTATTTTACTGAACTACTGCATATTAGCAATGCTAACATCTAGTGCTTCAAGTTTAGTTTAACTAATAAAAATAGAGTATTCAATAGAGCAAACATCTTTGATTTGATCTCCGTGACAATTAACCTCTGTGACTCATGGTACCTATCCAAAGGTTTTCAAAATTTGTACTCTTTCTTTGCCCCATCCTCTCGACTTCTCCTCTCTCTCCCTCTGTGATTTGTTTGATGGACCCCATTGCTACTTGAACATTTATGTTTTCTCTCCTAATCCCTTCAGGTCAGCTACTGTATAATGGTGCCACTAATACCCTGTAGTGGTTGTTGGAACAATGATCTCATCCAGGACCAGAGAAGACTAGGTTATTTCTTGATGATCATGAATAAAGTTGTACTGGAAACATACAGATGGTGTTAAGGCAGATTTTATTGGAAAAACCTACAACATTTTAGTTCCCACAGCAGCTTTTATCAAGCTTTATCAAGGTTTCTGATAAAAGCTCATCTGCAATCCTTCACACCAGAGATATTCCGGCTTCAGATTGGCGTTTATTTGCCTCCTAACTTAAAAAAAGATGACTTTCGGTCCCTAATTGAAGATAGAAAACAGCTCTTTAGGAGTGAACTGTCTGATATTTGGACCTCAATCTCTAGAAACGGCAGGCCCTGAAACACTCTGCCTGGCTCTCAACCCAATCCATAAACACACACACAGCCTCATGGACCATAAGTTCCAAACTGAAGACCAAATAACCATGGCAGAAGACACAACATTAGAATACGGGGATTTGGTGAGTCCACTGGCCCTGAAGACCTTTTGAGCCTCACTTGTCTCACTTTTCAACCACATCTAAGACCACTCACTAGATACCCTCATATGCATAGACAAGGCACATAGAGTCTTTTTGACCGAAATCCCCTCCATCATCCCCACTAAGGGATATAATTTGTTCTAATATTTTTTTATTTTTATATTAACGAAAACATTCTTTGGCGACACCCACATTCAACTGGTCTCCCTGCATTCTAAGCTTAACTCTCTTGTCCCTATTAGCAGGGACACTGGAGGACCACAGACAGAAATCTTATATTAAAAGAATTCATCATTTTGGCACCCTCTACTATTGCTGAGGGCGTCCGACAATATTATGCATCACTATACGATTGACAAACATTCTCCACCTCTAAAACACAACTGCATATGTCATTGACAACCTCATTAGAACTCTTGATGCAAACACTATATGTAAATTGGAAGAGCCCCATTTCTTGTTAGGAATTCTCACTGGCACTCAAACTCATAAAACCTGGTAAAAGCTCAGGTTCCGATGGATTCACAGTTCAGATCTTCTTTGATCTACCGACCCTTCACTTACTTGCATGCTTAACACCGTTCAGGAGAGACACTCTCTAAACCCATGTACACTAGCAGCACATGTAATTGTTCTACCAAAAGTGGGCGAAGACTCTTCTTTATGCCCAAGCTAAAGGCCGATCTCCCTGCTGAACGCTGATCTCAAATTATTTGCTAAAACCTTAGCACTTTGCATACAACCACTCCTCCCAGAATTGATCCATCCGGCTTTGTTCAAGGTAGGGAAACCCTTGATAATACCACAACAGTCATTAATTGGGTAAATGCGGTCCAGAAGCAAACCTCCCCCTCCCTTCGTATTTCAACAGACACAGAAAAGGCGTCTGTCAGGGTGGATTGGTCCTTATTTATTTTTATTTTTTTATTTATAATCCTGAAACCTCTAGGATCCAGTTCCAACATGCTTGCTTGAATAGCTGCGTTATGCTCCCGACTCACTGCTCAAGTTTGCGTCAATAGTGTGTTATTACAATCCTTTGCCATCAAGAAAGGCGGCACCAGATAAAGGCTGTCCTCCGTAGCCATTATTATTCGTTCTGAGTCTGGAACCTATCGGAAGCAACTTGAGCATAACTGGGATTCTTGGGACTTGGGGTGACAGTAATGTAACTGCATATACAGACAACCTGCTTTTTTGGTTTCCATTCCTGTCTCCTCCCTGCCATTACACAAGAATTTAATTTTTTTACCTGCTTTTGAACCTGAAAATTAGTTTTTCGAAGTCAGAAATTCTCAACATCACATGTAATCCTTCCCTTGCCTCTTTTCTTCGACTGCTTCCAATTTCAGTGCTGCCTTGACGCAATTAAATACCTTGCCGTTATCATTCCTGTCTACCTCACACACATCCAAACTCAATTGCCCCCCACTTCTTCAGAAAGTAAAGCTCCCACATATCACCTAGTTTGAGAAGATTAGTGTTCTAAAGATGAACATTGTACCGCGCTTCCTATATCTACTCCAGACACTCCTGGTCCACATCTAACAAACCTTTGTCCAAATTTGCAAGCTTTTCTTAGAAAATAAATATATTCATCGCCGAGAAGCACAATTAAAATATGACCTGCTGGTTCAGCCTAAACAGCACGGGGGATTGGGGCTACCTGACTTATCCAAATATAAAAAGCAGTTCATCTCCAATGTATAGATTGGAATGAGCTATCCTCCCTCCTGACAAACTTTGTACTCCGTTGGAAGCTGGCTTTTTTTGAAGCTCCTCTGTACACCCTCCCTTGGCTCCCATCAAACCAAAAGTCTAGAACACTGAGTAGCCATTCCACCACACCAAACACTGTCAATTTGGAAATGGACGACTGGTCCCTCTTTTGAGACTTTTGAGACTGATGCCATTTATATTTACCATGTATGACCTATGTTTCAATGTCAATAATTTTTCTAGTGCTTGTTTTCACTTACAGTTATGTCTGATATTGCGTGCATATGTATGTCTGCATGTGTCCGGACCTTACCTGGAGGTGGGGGCCCAGCAAGTGCTTACTTACCTTCCCTTCAGCTCCCCTGTCTAACTCTCGCGGCCTGCGTGCTGCGCGGAACGTTGCCATGGTAACCCGTGGCAATGCTCTGACGGCCTCGGGACTCGCAAGATTTACACAGGGGGCTAAAGGGATCTGCTGGGAAGGTAAGTAAGCGCTTGCTGAGCCCCCCAGGACCGCCGCGGGTCTCCCAGGACCCTGATGGCGGTCCTGGTCTGCATTATTGGGGGGCGGGGGGGCAATACTTTTACACTGCCATTTACAACAAAGCCATGTGTGGGCTCATGTTGCCATATTACTAGTCCTGGGCAATATATCACTAATTATAGTTCTCCAAAGTCCCTTAATTTTAAACAACCTTTTAAATAATGACAATAGAATGCATAGTTCTGTTTTATACATACCAATGAACTTGTGAATTCATTTAAATTAGTGTTTTGTTTTCATTTCCGCACGTACAATCCATGCCTATGTAAAACATTGCCCAAACTATGCCTGTCTACTGCACCATCCTGATCTATTATTTTTCATTTTTGTTTGATTGGGTAACTAAAATAACAGATCATGGTGGTGCAGTAGACATTGCTTACCTAGATTTCAGTAATGCTTTTGACACTGTTGCACGTAGAAGGCTTATCAATAAACAGCAATCTTTAAGTTTGGATTCCAATATTGTTAAATGGGCAAGGCAGTGGCTGAGTGACAGGCAACAGAGGGTTGTAGTCAATGGAGTATATTCAAAGCATGGGCTTTAATATTTTTATTAGTGATATTGCAGAAGGTCTTGATGGTAAGGTATGTCTTTTTGCTGATGATATGAAAATATGTAACAGGGTTGGTGTTCCAGGAGAGATAAGCCAAATGGCAAATGATTTAGGTAAACTAGAAAAACGGTCATAGTTGTGGCAACTTACATTTAATGTGGATAAGTGCAAGATAATGCATCTTGGATGTAAAAACCCAAGGGCAGAGTATAGAATATTTGATAGAGTCCGAACCTAAACATCTGAGGAAAGGGATTTGCAGAGTGCTCCAAGCAGGAAATGCTAGGAGAATGCTTGGTTGTATAGGGAGAGGTATTAGCAGTAGAAAGAGGGAAGTGCTCATGCCATTGTACAGAACACTGGTGAGACCTCACTTGGAGTATTGTACGCAGTACTGGAGACTGTATCTTCAGAAGGATATTGATACTTTAGAGAGCGTTCAGATAAGGTCTACTAAACAGGTTCATGGATTGCAGGATAAAACTTACCAGGAAAGGTTAAAGGATCTTAACATGTATAGCTTGGAGGAAAGATGAGACTGGGGGGATATGATAGAAACATTTAAATATATAGAGGGAATCAACACAGTAAAGGAGGAAACCATGTTTAAAAGAAGAAAAACTACCACAACAAGAGGACATTGTCTTAAATTAAAGGGGCATATGTTTAAAAATAAACCCCCCCACCCCCATAAAAGGCTAAAGAATATTTTCAGCAGTGCTGCCCTCGTCTTAGTGATTGCTCCAAGTTCTATCTAAAGTATTGCCTACGCAACAAGAAATAATAAATCTTGGCATGATTATCAAACATATCTTTAGCCTCTTGATTCTTCTTTATTTTTTCTCCCCCTCTTCTTCTATATTTGAGATGACCGTAGATTTTAGCCTTAATACATTCCATACATTGATTTGCAGATTGGGCTCAAATAATGCTGCTGACAGATACACCTGTGCTAGTGAAGGGTCCAACTGGTCCTGTGCATTTAGGTCCTGCAAATAGACAGTGTTAGGGGCTCTTAAGGACAGCCTGCCACCGTTAATCTGATGTGTGAGCTCCT